AGTCATACTTCTACCCCTTGAAATCCAACTTTCTTGAACCAAGGCCCTGGGCATTGGAGGTGGGGGAGATAAACATTTTCCCCAAATCCAATGGGGCTGGCCTAGGTTTGGGTTGGAAAAGATAGTCCTAGTTTGCTTCTGTATTAGGGTTTGTCTCTAGCAAAATCATTGGGTATTCATCACCCTGTATTTCACAGACTCCAATAGTTATGGAGATAACTCATTTGTTTGGTTTTGGTAAAGGGGATAATTAATGCCTGCTGTAAGAACAAAAAATTTAACCCTTTTTTGTATGTTCTTGGAGGGCAAGAAAAAGATGGGGAGTTGGGATGGGGAAGAGTAAATTCTAATTAACATGCTTATTTTCAAGTCTGTTTAGAAGAAATCTGATGGACTCTGCCAGACCAGGTGGGGTGGCACTTCCAGGGATCTGTGTCTTAGAAGGAGAAAAAGAATGAACACTGAGGTTTAGGTATGGTTTTTTTGGTTTGTTTGTTTCCCTGGTAGTACAGACAGATGCTGTGTCCCTCTTGTGAAGAGCTGCAAAGAGGATGGGATACATAAGGTAGATCATTTTATTTGTCAGAGTTCAGGGATTGTTCTCAATTAAAAAAAAACATATCTAAGGTAGGAGACCAGACTGAATTTCACAGGGTGCAAAAGGCTGAGAGTTACAGGTGGAAAACAGGGTCATATGAGTTGCCATAGGAGGAAGAAGTTAATGGAAGGTTAGTCTAATGGTATAGAGACCTGACTGTTGAGAAGGAGAAACATAAGCAGCTACTGTGAATGGAAAAAATTAGAAAGAGAAATATCTCGAGAAGAATTTGGGAGTCTCTTCAGTATGCTGTGCAGAGCATTTGCAGGGACTCTTTAAAAAAGCTTACGTATTTTTCTTCAGTGTTTGAGCAGTCAGTTTATGTTTTCTTAGAATGCTATTACATGCTTGGACTAGACCATGGGAAGCCTCAGTTTTATTCAGGTTACACTCTGAAATATAATTGTCCCCTGCTCAACAAAGCTCTCCTTGACTTTGCTACCCTCTTAATTTACTGTCATCTCAGATTACTCCATTTCAATGGCAAATCTGAATAAACTATATCACCAAATTAACAAAACAAAATGCATTGATTATAAGTAAAGATTAAATATAGCAGTAACAGTAAAACATACAGCATTTTTATATGTCAGACACTGTACCATAGCAATTTACATATATTAGCTCATTTAAATTTCACAATAATCCTACAAAGAAGGTACTATTATTGCCCCTATTTTAGAGATGTGGATCCTAAGGCAAAGAGCTTAAGTAAATTGTCTAAGCTTATACAGTTAGAAGAGGCACAGCCAAAATTCAAACCTAGGCATTCTGGCTTCAGTGTCTATGCTCCTAACCATCACACATGTGCACTGAAATTAGTGTCCTTATTCATTAATGGTGGCACTGTGTATTTGTTCAACCTCAAAAACAAACACAGAGTTACCATATGACCCAGTAATTCCACTCCTATATATATATCCAAGAGAACTGAAAATAAACCCAAATATTCATAATGGCATTACTCACAATAGCAAAAAAGTGAAAAAATACAAATGTTTATCAATTTTGAACAAACACGATATGGTATATCCATATATTTGGATATTGTTTAGTCATAAAAAGGAATGAAGTACTTATACTTGCTTTAACTCAGATGAATCCTGAAAACCTCATTCTAAGTGAAAGAAGCCACACAAAAGACTATGTATTGTATGACTCCATGTATATGAAATGTCTAGAATAAGCAAATCTATTGAGGCAGAAAGCACACTAGGGGTTACCAGGGGCTGGGGGAAGTAGAATAATTTGGAGTGATTGCTAACAGGCACAGAATTCCTTGTTGGGGTGATGAAATGTTATAGAAATCTAGATAGTGGTGACTTTGCATATACTAAAAGCAAACAGTACTTTAAAGTGGGTCAGTTTTATGGTATATGAATTATACCTCAATTAAAAAATCTCTAGGCAGGGAGAGAACAAGATCTGAACCCACTGCTGCCATTATGTTACACTGTCACATGGTGTCAACTGTTGATGAACAAAGTCCCAACTAGGCATATGTAAACCTTAGTGATGCTCTGCTGGTTCAAATAGTGCCCAAGCTATAGGTATGCCTTATGACTGAAGCGTAAGGTTAAAATTCAGACTCTGTTCCCCAGAGCACGGGCAACATCATTCCAGAATAGCTTAATATTAAAGAGCTTCTAGCTCAGCCCCACACTGTGCAACTACTTGTCCTCCTTCACAGACTGAGGTTCTTGGCTAAACCTGGTTCCCAGATTAATGGAGAAATTCACACTCCTTCTGACAGCATCTCTGTTAAAAGGAAATACTACTAAGCACAACTTGAACTTTAAAAAACTTAAAAAAAAACTTCTTTATGCTATACAGGGAAATATTGAGTAATTTTATTGTCTGGGGGAGGAGACTTCAAATGATTGGAGGATTTTACAACAGTTCTTTCTAAAAACTTTAAACTATTTAACCCAGTATTTCCAATCAACATATTACAAAGCTATATGCATGAAGTTGGTCATCACAAAGTTATTGACATTAGCAAAAAATAAATCAGAAATATCCAAGAATGGGAATTTGTATATACACTTGTGGAAAATCAGATACCTGTTAAAAATAGTATATATGAATGCTATGTAACAATATGAAAATCCTTATACTATAATGTAAAATAATAAAAAAGCACCTATTTGTATGTATATGTAAAAACATACATTCAACAAATTCATACAGTTAGAAATAATGCACATACTAGTTAAAGTTATATGTCATTGATATTGAAATAAATTTCCTTTAATCCTCTTACTCTACATTCTACAAAATGTGTTTAATGTCTATACCAAGTTTTCTCTCAATTCCCAGGTTATATAGTCTCATGGTTACTTTTTTCAATTATATTTTAAAATCATGAACAATATCATACATACAAGAATATTTATAATGCATGTGTATGGTTTAAAGAGTATTCATTTAATTCTCATCAGGAATAAGAATTCTACTCAGTTGCTTTAACTAAAGAGATGGAATATGAATACATTATTTAAAGGGCTATGGGTGGAGTTAAGAGAACCATTTAGTACAAGCATTCCAACAACTAAGGAGAACCTTTAAGAGAACCATAAAACTGAGAGTCTAGCAACAGTGGGAAGTCCATACCATCTCTAGGCTAACAAGCAAGGGAGAAAAGCATTTCCAGAGCTCTGTGAGCTGAAGCCATGAAGGAAAGGCCACTGGTCAGGGGATGCAGTTGTGGAAGGCCTCAGACCTGAACAGAGAAAGAATGCAGAAAACATGCCCTACCTTTCTTTCTTCCTGCCTTTAGTCTAGTCTTCTGCAGATGCCTCCCACTGTCCAAATACAAATGGAAATCAGATGAGGAAAGCCCAAGTGATGTTTTCTAAAGAGGTCAGCTTTTAGGGGTATAGAACAGGGAAGGGAAGGGAGAAGTGTGGATATGAGGGAAGGCAAACAAAATCCAGATAGTCTACTTGTTTCACCACTCAGCATTTATTCTTTCCCTTTACTCAGGTGAAGAGAAGCTCATCCCCTACACATGAGAATCATCGAGTCTCATCAACCACGGTATTATTTAGAGGTGATGTGTATTTGAGTATACTCTGACATAGAAACTAATAATACTTGTCTCCACTGGTACTCTTCATACAAGTTAACAAGGAAAAATGGACAGGGAAGAAATGGTCAACATTTTATGTGCAGAGCTACGATAGTCCCTGCTCCTATGGCTTGTTGCAATGCTAAAATAGATAATCTTAGCTTCCTAATTCCTCACTTACATTTCCCTAGACAAATTCAGTGCCTTGGTAGATTAGGATTTTTTTTACCTCATGTGGTGATATAACACTTTAATTTCTGCATGGTCTGAAATTAAAGTGGTCCCAATTTTATCAGGTCACTGCAGTTATCTAATGATCATTATTATTATACACAGGAGTAATGCCCCATAAATCTCTGGGCATCATGCACAATTCTCCTTGCCTTCATTGTATAGCTGCAACCCAATCACCCCTTGGTAAATTGGAATTAGCCACCCCAATTCTATCACTATGAAGAACCAAAATATCAGGGGGCAGTTTCAACTTCCAATTCAATAGAATTATGGCCGGGTCCTCTAGTGGAAGCAGTCCTTTCTTTTGAAGTAGGACTTTCAAACAGTATCTGGATATTTTCCATTTGTCTCTCCAATCTTTGTGCCTAGGAGCCTGGCCTCTATAGACTGCATAAATATGGCTCCCTTGTTTTCTGGCCAGGATATCAGAGCAGATATTAGGACAGAGAGATGAGTCCTTCTTCTTTACTCTGTCTTCACTTTGAGAAGAGATCCTAGAAGTGGCTACAACTACAGGATCTCACCCTGCTAAGCCAAATTGACTGCTTTATTCTACTGAGCCACAGCTTCTGTTGGTAGCCCTCTCTTACAGCCACAGCTATGGTTCTTGCTGGCTTTAGTAACTGCTTCCTCCTCCTGGTCCCTCCTGATCTAGAATTAGTAATGTCTCCCTACTGTTGCTGGTTACTACTGTTTTTTGAATGTTAATCATGTGCCAGACACTGTGTTAACTGCCTAAATGTATTATGTCATTAATCTCGACAATTCAATAAATTAGATGGCTTTAGTCCTATTGCAGAGATGACAAAACTAAAGTTTGGAGAGGATAGGGTGGCAGTGACAGAGCTGGATATCGATCTAAGTGTGTTTATGCTAGAATCTGAACTCATATGTATGTTGTCTCCTGCTTTTTTTTATCAGTTGTCATCCTCCTTTAAAGAGTCAAAGCTCCACATGGGTTTGCTCCTGAGGCACATGATACATCTGGGCAACTCACCTGCTCGCACAACTGGGAACAGGGATACTGGTGAGATTTCCCCATTCAGTCATTAAAAAAATCGTGTCTGGAATGTGGGACCCAAGCTTCAGAATACTCACCCTTGGTTCTCCTCCTGCCCCTAGTGCTGATCCCCACCTTCGTTTCAGAGGAGCCCATTCTCGTCGCAAGGACTCCTGGCCTCTCCCCTATTGCTGTAATGTAATTGCGGAAAGTAGCAGAGCATTATAAACGGAAGTCAGTTTATCACTGCAGGAAATACCCCAGTTACAGTAATAGGATCCAGGGAGCGCGGGTGGAGTTAAAGTGGGGAAAACCTCCCGGAAGCTGGGTTCTGGGCTGGAATTTTGCAGGGGAAGCGGGCTAGTTTTAATGGAATGCAAAGCCTTACTGAAAAAGATTTTAGTTATTTAACCAGTCAAAAATGTAGGCAATGTGTCATTTCATCTGGAAATGACTCGGCGCAAAAATTTGGATGATAGAGGTAACGGATCATGGTACTGAGCGCATCAAGGCAAGCCTAGGAGACTGGCGCAGTGTTCAACAGTGGTGGTTGACACTATTTCTGGAAGTAACACTGAGATGGCTTTTTAAACTCAATGGAGGCTTAGCTTGGCACTGCAGCATGGATTTCTCATATACGTGGGTATAACTGACAACTTCACTGAAGTCTGTGAGATTTCCATTCTGCTGCTTCTGCCTCCTCTCAAAATCTGACAGCTGAGCCTTTTAGGTTTTTAATTTGTCTCTTTGACCTGCCCTTCCCAGGCGCCGGGCCTGAAAGAACGTACCAGGCCTGGATCAGGCTCGCGGGCCCTTTAAGAAAGCGGAGGGTTACGCTGATGAGCTGAGGTTGCTACCTTGGCCAACCAATTGCGAGGCTCCGCAGGCGAGACCCTGTGCCTGGCCGGGTTTGGGGGATCCTGGGCTTGTAGGACTCTGCTGCGGTCACCGTGTCCCCGTGCCACCGCCGCCCGCTACCCAGTGAGTGAGCGCTGGGCCGGGCCGGGCGGGCAGGCCGGCCGCAGGCTGGTGGGAAGGGCTGGTCGGCGCGGCCGCGTATGCCGGCGCAGAGCTCCAGGACCCCGGGCTTGCCAGGCTGCGCTGCGCGCTCTCTCTCTCTCTCTCTCTCTCTCTCTCATTGGAAGCGCTCACCCTTGGTTCTCCTCCTGCCCCTAGTGCTGATCCCCACCTTCGTTTCAGAGGAGCCTATTCTCGTCGCAAGGACTCCTGGCCTCTCCCCTATTGCTGTAATGTAATTGCGGAAAGTAGCAGAGCATTATAAACGGAAGTCAGTTTACCAGTGCAGGAAATACCCCAGTTACAGTAATAGGATCCAGGGAGCGCGGGTGGAGTTAAAGTGGGGAAAACCTCCCGGAAGCTGGGTTCTGGGCTGGAATTTTGCAGGGGAAGCGGGCTAGTTTTAATGGAATGCAAAGCCTTACTGAAAAAGATTTTAGTTATTTAACCAGTCAAAAATGTAGGCAATGTGTCATTTCATCTGGAAATGACTCGGCGCAAAAATTTGGATGATTGAGGTAACGGATCATGGAATTACCTTTTTTTATTGTTAAAATGAAATCCAGGTTCCCAGGAGCGACCAAAGGAGTGCTGCCTTGAACTTTTAGCCCCAACACTCCTCAGAAATAATCCTTCCCATTGTAATTATAGCACCGCTGAGGCAGGGCTGGAGTACTATAGTGCCCTTTCTTGGGTCTCAGAAGTAATCAGAGAAATGAAGGCAGAAGGGACCCAGATCAGCATTCTCAGCGCTCTGAGACACACTGATGTCTAAGATGTAAGTAGCAGGACATTTGCTACCAATGATAAAGTGCTGGAATTTTTGAGAGACTTACTCTTACGTAATTGAGTGAATTCAAAGTTATCCCCATTGAAAGATCACTCCTGCTTATTCCTGATACATATTTTGTAAGTGGGAGAGAAAAAGCTGAAAGTATTCTAGACACCATAGGGTACTCTCCAGACTTTGGAAAATGGTTTAGTTATGGTGGGAAAGAAGAGGAAGGTTGAAAATACTGAACTCCAGGGCGCAGTTTACAATAAGTGGCACACTTATTTTCAGGTGTGGTCTTCCCTGAGAACCTCAGGTTAGCTCTTCTTCCTGTTCTGCTTCAACCTTTAACCCGTGAGAGTGTGCCCTACCTACTACATCCAAAGTACAATCCAGATCCAAGGCAGCAAGGCTCAAAAAGAGGTAAGCCTATGTCCTAACTTTCCAGATAGTTTCCCTTCTCCCCAGTTAGCCAGAACTTAATTTTCTGATAAGAACATGGAAAGTAGGACCTCTGTTGGGCTTTCAGAATGCTATGAACCCTGTGTAGAAAGCACTGAAACTGGCCACTCTGACCTGAAGTATATAACCCTGCTCAATAGCCTACCAAAGAAAAATCAGAAATATTGTTGAGGAGAGTAGAGCAGTTATAATTTCCCTGAATTTTGCTGTTTTCTGAAAGTAAAATCAACAAGTAAATGAAGGCCTTAGGTACCTATCCAGTTGGATTAAGTACAAAATATTAGGGTTCTGGCCCACCTAGAATTGACAACCCACTTAAGAACTTAAGTAAGATAAATTAGACAACACCATATACTCATTTAAAAATTGTGTTTCCCAGGATATGTAAGTATCTTTATGTTTTTCCCCTTTTGAGAACTTCTGTCATTACTTGAAGAGAACAAAAGTGAAGCCAGAGGAGGATGGCTTAGGGAAATCAGCAGTGGATGGAATGGAAATAGGGAGTGTGTAGGAAAGAAATAGGGATTGCGGGAAAAGTATTGATGTAGTGACCTTCAAACACCTAAAACTTCCTAAAACACAAATGCCAAGAGCACAGAGAAATCTGCCTTCCAGATGCACAATGCATCTTCTGAATCACCCCTCCTCAAAACAGAAGGTTTGGTTATCCAACTGCAGGAGGTAAGAGGAAGGATGGTATCCACCCTGTCCCTCACAAAAAGAGAAGGGTTTTGTTTTTTGTTTGTTTTTAAGTATTCAGTTCGTCAAGATTTATAGTGGGAAGCAATATCAGGAAACATGGAGCCATATACCTGTTGAGCAGGTGAAGATTTGGAAACGATTTAGTTCAATCAGCTCATCTTAGATGAGTGAATGACAGCCAGGCTGGTTAAGTTTGCCCAAGATCAAACAGCTAGTTAGGATCTAGGAGTGGAATACATACTGTGTTCTCAGGTCAGAATATTTTATTTTTTTTTGTGTTGTCATAAGCTCATGATAGCCAAAAGCAGAGCATATAAGGATGTATATAGGATACACTGTTTTAAGCCTTTTTGCTTTTTTTACATTTTAGGTCACGATGGGGTTTATCTTTTCAAAACCTATGAATGAAAACATGAAAAAGCAGCAGGAGTTCATGCTTATGAATGCTCGACTTCAGGTACATTTTCAAGTAATTAAGGCTTTTATGTTGTTATAATGGTTAAAATTTCTACCACATGTGCTCAGTAGTATGTTCTCTTTGACCCCAAATGCTCTTGGGGCTTCATCCTTAAAGCTATGATGAAATAGATTATTATTTGTTAAATAGGGTTGTTGAAATCTCCAATCCAGAAACTTGTATAAAAATTCCCATACTGTGGGAAGAGATAACTGCTTACAGTATAGGGTAGGTAGAATGATACCCCCACCCGACCAAAGACAGGTACATCCTAATTCCCTGTGAATATGTTACCTTACATGGCAAAAGGGACCTTGCAAGGCGGTTAAGTTAAGGGGTTTGAGATGGAGAAGATCCTGGATTATCTGGATGGGCCCAATGTAGTGATGGGGTCCTTGTAAGGGAAAGGGGAAGGCAAAGGGGAGAGAGAGAGACAGAGAGAGAGAGACAGAGACAGAGAGAGACAGAGAGAGAGAGACAGAGAGAGAGATTTGAAGATCCCACGATCCCACAACTGCTGGCTTTGAAGATGAAGTAAAGGGCTTTGAGCCAAGGAATTCAGGCAGCCTCTAGAGGCTGTAAAAGGCAAGTATATGAACTGTCCCCAAGAGCTTCCAAAGGGAATACAGTCCCACCAGCCCATTTTGGACTACTGACTCCCAGAACTGAAGATAATAAATCTGTGTTGTTTTAAGCCACTGAACTTGATAATTTGTTATAGCAGCGATTAGTAATTAATACAGAGTATGAAAACTTGACACTGGATTTATATACAGGCTGGAAAGAAAAGACCAAAGCAAAGTAGAAGATTGTTCAATTGCCTAATATAAGTTGCCAAAAAGTATTTTTAAATGTTCATCAAATTCAGGTGTTGAAAGTTGGACTGAAGTTATTTCCCTAAGGTTTCAAAGATCCCTAGGCCTCTGTGGTTCATTATGGCCCTGGGAGTGGAGGGTTCTACTGTTGAGGCAATAGAGTGAGTGGTTAAAAGTGAGGACTAAAGCCAACTGCCTGGATTTGCATCCCATATCTACCCCAGACTAACGGTGTGCCTTGTGGCTCAGTCTCCTAAGCCTCTATAAACTGGAGGCAATAATACCCCTTCAGAGGGTTGTTTTGAGGAGTAAAGATGGTAGTGTGTAGAACAAAGCCTCAGGTCTTTAGAACTCTGTAAGAATTAGTTGTTGCTGTTTTTATTGCTATTAAGAGTGTCTTGTGCAAGATAGTGATTTCTTTTGGGGGAATGGAACATTGAAAGAGTGGGAACTGAATTATCATAACAAAATTAAGTCACCTAGGGGAAACCAAACATTAGGCATACAAACTAGCCAGGAATGTTATATACTCAGAGAGTCTTTGTCCAAGACCTTCAGAAACTACAGAGCTTTTACACTTATATCATCAGTTCCCATGAAATCAGGGTCTTTGAAGGGTCTGGGATTTTATCCTACTTGCAAGCTAACAAATTAGCCTGTTACTATTTCATGGATGCTGGCAAAATATAGGAGACACCTACATAAGAGACAAAAGATTTCAATATTCAGCACAGTAAGTAGCGTGAGCATGAGGCTGGTGCTAATTCCCTCAAGTCTCACAAAGGTGACCAAGATGGGCTTTGATGGGTGCTGTTCATTCATTGGGTTTGAGGAACACTGGGCTTGGGGAATCTACTGCTTTTATGGTGAGCAGTGAGCTGATGGAGTTGAGGGGAACCTCATTTTTCAAGGTTGTTCACCACAAATGCAACCCAGAGAAATGGCCCAACAAAAGAACAATCTGGGCCTTGAATTATCAGCCTTCCTAGTAAGAATGTGCAGAGATATTCAGGACCATGGAGGATTGCCCCTCCTACAACCTGCCCCTCAGCCAACTCACCAGTTTTGAGAACAGCCTTGACTTCCATTCACTGATCCTAGGGATCACGATAGCTGGCACTGAGTTCAAACTGTCAGGAGCACTTATCAGCACCATGAGTTTTCAGTTTAGTTGAAACAAAGTTGAACTGTGCCCAGGCAGTAGAGAATCCCTGTGAATCCCAGGACCTATTGTGCCAGTAGCTTTGCTTCAGCTGTCAGAGTGGGGGGGTAAAGTTTTTCCCAAAGGGGCAGTTACTACTCCTTTATGCAAAATTGAGATGACATTATGGCAGGCCAGCCATGCTCTCAAATACATTTTCTTTTTTCTTTTAATTTTTTTTATTTTGATATCATTAATGTACAATTACTTGAACAACATTATGATTACTAGACTCCCCCCATTATCAAGTCCCCACCACATACCCCATTATGGTCACTGTCCATCAGCATAGTAAGATGCTATAGAATCACTATTTGTCTTCTCTGTATATACTGCCTTTCCCATGTTCCCCCACCCCCATCCTTCATTATGTGTGCTAACAGTAATGCCCCATTTTCCCCCTTATCCCTCCCTTCCCACCCTCCCTCCCAGTCCCTTTCCTTTTGGTAACTGTTAGCCCATACTTCATTCTTGGGTTCTGTGAGTCTGCTGCTGTTTTGTTCCTTCAGTTTTTGCTTTGTTGTTATACTCTACAGATAAGTGAAATCATTTGATACTTGTCTTTCTCTGCCTGGCTTATTTCACTGAGCATAATATCTCCTAGCTCCATCCATGTTGTTGCAAATGGTAGGATTTGTTTTCTTCTTTGGCTGAATAATATTCCATTGCATATATGTACCACATTTTCTTCATCCATTCATCTACTGATGGACACTTAGGTTGCTTCTATTTTTTGGCTATTGTAAATAGTGCTGCTATAAACATAGGAGTGCATAGGCCTTTTTCAAACTGGGCTCCTGCATTCTTAGGGCAAATTCCTAGGAGTGGAATTCCTGGGTCAAATGATATTTCTATTTTGGGTTTTTTGAGGAACCTCCATACTGCTTTCCACAATGGTTGAACTAGTTTACATTCCCACCAGCAGTGCAGGAGGGTTCCCCTTTCTCTACATCCTCGCCAACATTTGTTGTTGTTTGTCTTTTGGATGCTGACCATCCTAACTGGTGTGAGGTGATATGTCATTGTGGTTTTAATTTGCATTTATCTGATGATTAGCGATGTGGAGCATGTTTTCATATGCCTGTTGGCCATCTGAATTTCTTCTTTCGAGAAGTGTCTGTTCAGCTCCTCTGCCCATTTTTTAATTGGATTATTTGCTTTTTGTTTGTTGAGGTGTGTGAGCTCTTTATATAATTTGGATGTCAACCCCTTATCGGATCTATCATTTATGAATATATTCTCCCATACTGTAGGATGTCTTTTTGTTTTACTGATGGTGTCCTTTGCTGTACAGATGGTTTTTAGTTTGACATGGTCCCACTTGTTCATTTTTGCTTTTGTTTCCCTTGCCCGGGGAGATATGTTCCTGAAGAAGTTGCTCATGTTTATGTCCAAAAGATTTTGCCTATATTTTTTTCTAAGAATTTTATGGTTTCATGACTTACTTTCAGGTCTTTGATCCATTTTGAGTTTACTTTTGTGTACAGGGTTAGACAATCATCCAGTTTCATTCTCTTACATGTAGCTGTCCAGTTTTGCCAACACCAGCTGTTGAAGAGACTGTCATTTCCCCATTGTATGTCCATGGCTACTTTATCGTATATTAATTTACTATATATGCTTGTATTGTTATCTGGACTCTCTATATTCTGTTCCACTGGTCTGTGGCTCTGTTCTTGTGGCAGTACCAAATTGTCTTGATTACTGTGCCTTTGTAGTAGAGCTTGAAGTCAGGGAGTGTAATTCCCTCTGCTTTATTCTTCCTTTTCAGGATTGGTTTGGCTATTCAGGGTCTTTTGTCATTCCATATGAATTTTAGAACTATTTGGTCTAGTT